AACACACCTTGCACTTGGGGCGGGAGTGGTGAGGTTTGTCAGGGTGCTTTGTTCCTGAGGGAGTTAATTCCCCATTTTCGAACTGGTCACCAGTAAAGCTCCATCTCCTGCACAGGCTAACTTTACCCTTATTGGTCCAGAAGAACGAAGTGGTCACTACGATCTTCATCCTGGAGGTTTAATTGATCTTTTAAAAGGAGTCCGGTGGCACCTTAAAGACTAACAGATTTATTTGGGCATAAGCTTTCGTGGGTAAAAAACCCACTTCTTCAGATGCATTATAGTGAAAGTTACGGATGCAGGCATTATTATATTGACACATGAAGAGAAAGGAGTTACCTCACAAGTGGAGAACCAGTGTTGACAAGGCCAGTACAGTCAGGGTGGATGTAGTTCACTCCCAATAACTGAGGGTGAGGTGTCAATTCCAGGAGAGGTAAAGTTGCTTTTGTAGTGAGCCAGCCACTCCCAGTCCCTATTCAAGACCAAATTAATGGTCTTAAATTTGCAAATGAATTTTTAGTTCTGCAGTTTCTCTTTGAAGTCTGTTTCTGAAGTTGTTTTTGTTCAAGTATGGCTACTTTTAAATCTCTTATAGAATGTCCCGGAAGACTGAAGTGTTCTCCTACTGGCTTTTGTATGTTACCATTCCTGATGTCCGATTTTTGTCCATTTATTCTTTTACGTAGAGACTGTCCGGTTTGGCCAATGTACATTGCTGGCATTGGGGCATGGCTGGCACATGATGGCATATATCACATTAGTAGATGTGCAGGTGAATGAGTCCCTGATGGTATGGCTGATGTGGTTGGATCCTCTGATGGTGTCGCTAGAGTAGATATGGGGACAGAGTAGGCAACAAGGTTTGTTACAGGGATTGGTTCCTGGGTTAGTGTTTCTGTGGTGTAGTGTGTAGTTGCTGGTGAGTATTTGCTTCAGGTTGGGGGGCTGTCTGTAAGCGAGGACTGGCCTGTCTTCCAAGGTCTGTGAGAGTGAGGGATCATTTTCCAGGATAGGCTGTAGATTGTTGATGATGTGCTGGAGAGTTTTTATCTCGGGGCTGTATGTGATGGCCAGTGGTGTTCTGTTATTTTCCTTGTTGGGCCTGGCCTGTAGTAGGTGACTTCTGGGTACCAGTCTCGCTCTGTCAATCTGTTTCCTCACTTCTCCAGGTGGGTATTGTAGTTTTAAGAATGCTTGATAAAGATGTTGTAGGTATTTGTCTCTGTCTGAGGGATTGGAGCAAATTCAGTTGTATCTTAGGGCTTGGCTGTAGACAATGAATCGTGTGATGTGTCCTGGATGGAAGCTGGAGGCATGTAGGTAAGCATAGGGGTCAGCAGGTTTCCGGTATAGGGTGGTGTTTATGTAACCATCACTTATTTGCACTGTAGTGACCAGGAAGTGGATCTCTTGTGTGGACTGGTCCAGGCTGAGGTTGATGGGGTGGAAATTGTTGAAATCCAGGTGGAATTCTTCAAGGTCCTTCTTCCCGTGGGTCCATATGATGAAGATGTCATCAATGTAGCGCAAGTGGAGGAGGGGCACTAGGGGACGAGAGCTGAGGAAGAGTTGTTCTAAGTCAGCCATAAAAATGTTGGCATACTGTGGGGTCATGCGGGTACCCATAGCAGTACCGCTGACTTGAAGGTATGAGTTTTCCCCAAATCTGAAATGGTTGTGGGCGAGGAGAGAGTCACAAAGCTCAGCCACTTGGTGTGCCGTGGCCTCATCAGGGATACTATTCTTGACAGCTTGTAGTCCATCCTCATGTGGAATATTGGTGTAAAGAGCATCTACATCCATGGTGGCCAGGATGGTGTTTTCAGGAAGCTCACAGTGTATTATAGTTTCCTCAGGAAGTCGGTGGTGTCTCGAAGAGAGCTAGGAGTGCTGGTAGCGTAGGGTCTGAGGAGAGAGTCTGAATAGCCAGACAATCCTGCTGTAAGAGTGCCAATGCATGAGATGATGGGGCGTCGAGGGTGTCCAGGTTTATGGATTTTGGGTAGCAGATAGAATACCCCTGGTTGGGGCTCTGGGGGTTTGTCCGAGTAGATTTGTTCCTGTGCTATAGCAGGGAGTTTAACTTGAGCAGATGGTGTAGTTTCTTTTGGCACTCTTCAGTGGGATTGGAGGATAGTGGCCTGTAGAATGTGGGAGAAATACAAGATGTGGAAAATTGGTCGAGATAGGAGAAGAAGGCAGGGGGTGAAGGAATGAGGTGTCACCAGGGAAGTGGGTGTTTAGGAGAAGGGGAGAAGGACAAGAAGTAGGAGAGTGTTCTGTGTGCAGGAGTTCTCATGAAAAGGAGATGCAAGCCAACCACGGTTGGAGAAAATAGGGATGGTAAAGAGAGAACAGGGAGGGAAATGGGGTGAAGGGGAGAGGAGAGCAAAGATGTAGACTAGGGTGACAATGTGAAGACCTTGGAAGGGGAGGACAAGTCATCCCAAAGTGAAATCTGGAGTCATTCTGATTTATGCCATATGTCAGTGAGAGCAGAATCTTGCCTGTGTACGTGCTCCCCCGTGCTCACAAGGAATGTTCTCTCTCCTCCAGGTGAATGGGGTGTCCCACAACCTCCCAGTGATCGTGGCTGATGGGAGAGTTAGAGTGTATCAACATGGCACAAACATTCTGGTGCAAACCAACTTCGGCCTCACTGTGAGCTACGACCTGGTTTACCAGGCCAGGGTCACCATCCCAGAGAGCTACGAGGGCCAGACGTGCGGCCTGTGCGGGAACTACAACGGACAGGAAGATGAGGAGTTCCTGCTCCCTGATGGCAGGACAGCCCCTGATGCAGCAGCATTTGGCTCTGCTTGGGAAGTCCAGATCCCAGGAGCATCCTGTACAGACAGATGTGCTGGAAACAGCTGTCCAGTTTGCGAAGAGAAGACGAAGGAGGTCTTCAAAGGGTGCAACTACTGTGGGCTGCTCACAGATCCTGATGGCCCCTTTGCAGCCTGCCACGGCATGGTCAGCCCCATCGTGTATCAGAGCAACTGCCTGTATGATCTGTGCCTTGGCAACGGGGACGCACAGGTTCTGTGCCAGAGCATTCACAGCTACGTGACGGCCTGCCAAGAGGCTGGGGTCCCCATCCTGCCCTGGAGGAACACCTCCTTCTGCTGTAAGTGCGCTGATAGTGTAGGAGCTATGGGATGCCCTGGGGAAGGGAGTGGGTCAGTGTTACTGGGCATCTTGTTCCAGGCTCTGGGCTTCTTCTAGAACTCTTCTGGGTGGGAACCAACAATCTCATGTTTCCATCTAAAGGCGCCCTGTTCCTCTCCTCCCTCTCCTGCTCTCCTCTCCTTCATGTCTGTCCCTCTAGGCCGTGGTGTGAGATCTTTCCAGCCATCATTTATTTCTCTCTCTATTTAAGCTATGAGCTGCCCAGCGAACAGCCACTATGAGGTCTGCGCCGACCTCTGCACCTCCACCTGCAATGGAGACATCATGGACTGCCCGGAGACCTGTGCTGAAGGCTGCCAGTGTGACGATGGCTTCTTCTTCGATGGCCAGGGCTGTGTGACTCCAGAAAGTTGTGGGTGCTTCGAGCGTGGGAGATACTACAAGGTACCGCCCCCTGCTGGAGCTTCTGGGTCTCATTTAATTTTTACTCTGTCCCTACACTGGTCAAGAATATAAGGTTTGCTATACTGGATCGGAGCACTGGTCCATCAGGGCTGGCTTCCCTCTCTGCTGGTATCTGATGCTCAAAGTGCCAAAAAAGGCCAGAAGATTTTATGCCCTATGCCTGTTGTGGGGAAACTGAGGCACAGATAGGAGCAGTGACTTGCTCAAGGCCACTTTGTGAGTGAGTAGCAGATGAGAGGTTAAAACCTAAGAATCGTTCCTGGCCTTAAGCCCAGTCTTCACCCCATTACACAGCCTTTCTCTCTAAAGGCAAGAGGAAATAGACAAATTAGA